ATGAGGATCACAGAGGCATGTTTAAGACTGCCTTGTGTTCTAGAATATTTATTTTGCCTAATAGCTAATGAGCTGCATTTTCAGCTCAAAGAAGCATTCCCATTGCTGGTCTGCCCACTCCTACTCAACCCTCGCAGACCTAGCGTGGGACACAGCCCATGTGGCCGGCCATCTAGTAGACATGCATCAGACTGTCTGCTTAGGATAACCTCTCACCTTACTAGGATGGCATAAAACTAGCCCTCTCTTCTCCCTGCTCAAACAGGACGATTCGCTAGTAAAGACTTTGTGGGTCCCAAGGCAACCTCTGTGCCATGGGCATGCTGGCCCCCCAATGAGGCAGTGACTCCAGAGTATTCCTCGGCCCCTCATTTGCAGGAAAGAAAGAAAGGTGGTCCCAGAGGTCTTCTGCTGTTTATCGTCGATTTTTCCCTGTGCAGATCCTAAAGTTTGTGTCCTAGCCTGGGTACCTCACAGACAGAGAGAATGATGGGACCGGATCTCAGTCCCCCAGGAAGTCCTAGGCCCGTGGGAGAAACCGAGAAGTGCGAGGTTCTAATGTGTGGATTACTGAGTGTAGAGCCGAGGGAGTAAGGATATAGGACCTTCAGGGTGAGAACTGTGCTCCACCCTGAAGTATTTGTCATACACTGGGTACTGTTTTAAATGTTTACAGACATGAACCCCCTGATGCTAGTATGATATAGTTGATATAATTCCTAAGATGGCCCTGCCTTTACAATGAGGAGCCCAGAGATTGCGTACAGCCAGCAAGTTACAGAACCAATGATCTGAAAGCAGAACTCCTCTCCCAAGATGATCAGAAGAGAAAACTCATATTATGCAACTTGACAGGACCATTCTGATTAGCCCATGTGACTGACGGGGCCCTGAACCCCACTTGTTTCTCTTGGTAACACACTGCCTTGGGATGCCAGAACAGTAGCAAAGACTGGTCCAGCTCAAGCCGGTCTAGTGATGACTTTCTGGAAGGAGATATTCCTGACATGGGGATACGATATTCTGATGAAGGAGACAGTCACTGGCGAGGCATAGAAACATTAGCAACCTGATATAGATGAGAGATGAGCTCTGGACCTGAAGCCAGGATGAGTGACCAGGGACAAGGCAAGAGCCAGTGGCCCGCTAAGTCCTTGGAACATCTGACAGCCATAGACATTATAATATTATTTTAAGAATGAAGTGGTATCATTCAATGGCTTGGAGGGAGGCCAGATCATTAGGTGGACTAATTAGGAGACGATTACAATAATAAGGCAATAAATCTCAACTAGATGCTTGTTGTTGAGATAAAGAAGGAAAAAAATTGCGTTTGAGAGACACTCATGGATACAGATGTCTGGGCGCTTTATTTGTTAGCCCAAGACATCCCTCATCTGAAGATAAAGGACAAGACCTGCTCCATCTGGACCAGGTCCCCTTACAGCAGGTGCTAACCTTGAAGAATGTGGGCAGGTTCCCCAGGCTACCTGTCTGCTCACCACACTCGCAGACTATGATCCCAGGTCTCCTAGGGTCGCCGTTACCAAACACTCATGTTTGACATGCACTACAAATGGAAACTCACTCACTTAGACATCTGCTAAGGGCTGGGAATATAGCTCAGTTGATAGAATGCTTACCTATGGAATGAAGCCCTGGGATTGAAACTCAACACTGTACAAGCTAGGCTTAGTGTACACCAGAGCCCCAGACCTTGGGTGGTGGAAATAGAAGGACTGAAAATTATTTACAGCTATATAGGGAGTCTGTGGATAGCCTGGGCTACATGAGACTCTTTCCAAAAAAAAAAATCTATTGAACAGCCTTTGATCATCAGTCCCTAGGTCTGAAACACTTCTTGATCTGTGAGAGCCCTGTGCTCTTCCAATGTGGCTCCCAGGAGTTTCTGTTTCATGTCCCCTCCTTACTCCTATGAACAGGCTCCTTCTCACCCACACCTCTCAAACATTGCCATGCAGACAAGTCACCTAGGAATATTACTGATAACACAGATCCTGAGGTGATGGTTGTGGGTAGGGCCCAAGACCTGCTGATTCTCAGAAGAGCCCAACAGACAGCCTTAAAAGGTAAATGCATAGATTTCTCAGAATCACCTGACGATAAAGCGATGAGAACAGTTGTTTTTAATTCTCTATGCAGAAAAGCCACATATAATAAAATGCACAGACCCTAAATATATAACTTGATGGATTTTGGAAAATATATATACCCCTTTCTGGGCAGTGATAGTGCACACCTTTAATTCTAGCACTTGGAAGGCAGAGGCAGGTGGATCTCTGTGAGTCTGAGGCTAGCCTGGTCTACAAAGCGAGTTCCAGGACAGTCAGGGCTACACAGAGAAATCCTTGAATGTCAGTGTTTCTAGAAAGTTTCTACTCAACATTAACTTCTGTATGTGCATGTGTACATATGTATATTTTATATATGTATATATTATATGTGTGTATGTATATATGATATATACACACAGAGACCAATAAAGAATGTCAATATTTCTGGAAAGTTTCCAATCAACCTTCATTTCTGTGTTCACACACACACACACACACACACACACACCTGTGGCCCCAATAAAGAATGTCAATATTTCCGGGCAGCAGTGGCGCACGCCTTTAAACCCAGCACTCGGGAGGCAGAGGCAGGCAGATCTCTGTGAGTTTGAGGCCAGCCTGGTCTACAAGAGCTAGTTCTAGGACAGGCTCCAAAGCTACAGAGAAACCCTGTCTTGAACCCCCCCCCCAAAAAAGTCAATATTTCTAGAAGTTTCCATTCAGCCTTCATTTCTGTTGCGATGACAAAATACCCTGACACAAAAAATTTCGAGGGCTGGAGAGTTAGCTCAGTGATTAAGATCACTTGCTACTCTTTGCTTCTCGCACCCACATCAGAGAGCTCACAACTGTCTGTAATTCTAGCTCCAGGAACTCCATTGCCCTTTTCTGGCCTCTGGAGGCACCACCATCTGTGTGGCTCACGCACAGAGAAATACATACATACACATAAATGAAAAGAAAATATTTTGAAAGCAACTTCTGTAGCTAACAACCCCAGGTTGCAGTCTTTCACCACAGAGACAGGGGCTTGCAGCAGCCAGTCACCTAGTCATGTAGAGCAGAGGGGGACAAATGCACCCTTGTTTACTTGCTTGCTCTCGGTTGACTTTCTCCTCTCTTATACTGATCAAGAATGCTTGCCCAGGGAATGGTGCCGCCCACAGTGGCCTGGGTCTTCCCACATCAATTAACAATCAAGGCAATCCCACAGACGTGCTCCTGGGCCAGCCTGATCCTGACTTTAGAACTCTCTTCAGGGGTGACTCTAGCTGTCAAGTTAACAGTTAAAACAAGTTTCCTGTTCCTCTTTCCATTCAATCCCAAGTAAAGATGGTTAAACCCAAAATGACATAGTCCAAGGGGATAGTTTTTTGATTCAAGAAGTTTGATCTAAGGAGGTTGTATTAGCATTTCTAGAGGAACAGAACTGATAGGACGAATATATACATATATATTCATATATATATATATATGGGATTGATTAAAGTGGTTTACAGGTTGTGGTCCAGCTAATTCAATAATAGCTATCTACCAAAGAAAAGTCTAAGAATCTAGCAGTAACTCAGCCCATGAGTTAGTCTTCAGTATAAACCAGGGGGCATGGGACCTACTTCTTCCTAGTAGACCCCACCTGCTACCCTTCACCAGCTCCCAATAATATCATCATCATATGCATTTACCAAGGGGTTAGCCTATTCATTATGTCTGCATCCTCAAGATCTCAGTCTTTCTAGAGATGCCAATCCCACAGGAACCAGAGGAGTAATTTACTAACATTCTACGTGATGTGGTGTGTGTGTGTGTGTGTGTGTGTGTGTGTGTGTGTGTGTGTATGCGCGCGCGCGCGTAGTGTGTGGGTGTGTTTGCACAGTGTGGAGGGGTGCTGATTGTGTGTATGGAGCCCCAAGGTTGACTTCAGATATAGTCCTTAATTATTAACTAGACTATATATGGAGAAGCAGTTTCTCTCGCTTGGACCTGGAGGCCACGGATTCAACCATTTATTTGCCCACCCTGTTCTGGTGACTCGCCGCCGTCTCCAGCTCCCACTGCCTTGGTGTTGCAGGTGGTCCACCAACCCCACTCCATGTTTGCTGAGTTGCATAGTAAGCACTTTACCCGCTGAGCTGTTTCCGCCACCTCCTTCTCTTTGTTTTTAGTCTGCTTAAGCTGTCTGCCAAGATTTGCCATCGTAGGATTCAACATACGGTCTCTGAGAAGACACAAACACTCAGACAGTAGCAGGAGCTCAGCTCTGACGGGTGACAGGCAGGGAGCATGGGAGAGCTCCCTGAAAGAGAACTGAAGGACAGCATTTGTGACCAGGCCAGAGAGGATGAGAGGAAGCATTTTAGTAGTGCATCTGCCTGCCTCTGCCTAACAAGAAATGGGGTGAGAGATGTATGCCACCACACTCAGCTGCTCAGCTGCTCCTTGAAAACCTTGGCCCTTACCGGTCACCTCTCATCTTCCTAGCAGGCCTATGGTAAGACATAGGCCATGCTTTCTCTTTTATGGTCATGGAAGCTGAGGTTTGAAGAGGTTGATTTAAAGGAATACATTAAACAGCTAGGAAGCAACACCTCTGGCCTCCAGGAAAGCTGTTTCCTACCCCACAACTCTCCCTGGAACGACAGAGGCCAGTCAAGTGGTAGGAGTCACAAGTGCTCGCCAGGGATCCAGACTACACACAGTATATGAATAAAAGCGGTCCTGGATGGCAGGACCAGGCCACCAGCACTCTCTACAATCTATTCCTTGCCAGGTGAATCTCAGAGCTGCCTGAGGAATCTCCTCGCTGAGGAAAGATGCTTGCCTCCCTAGGTCATGGGTTCCCCAGGGCGGACTAACCCTCTCCCCAGACGATACTAACTGGCATGTGTCCTCTGTGTGTTTCAGCCTCTTGCTTCCCACTGCTGCACCATGAAAATCCTGCTTAGTGACGTTCTGCTGCTGAGCCTGCTCTCCAGCGTGTTCAGCAGCTGTCCCAGGGACTGTCTCACCTGCCAGGAGAAGCTCAGCCCAGACCCTGGCAGCTTTGACTTGAAGGTATGTCTAGAATCACCCTCTTCCTTGATCTCTCCTCCCTTTGACTCCAAAGCAAATGCTAAATGCGACATTCAAGTCTCCCCCAGAGGTCACAGGACTTATGCAGTGTAGTATGACCAAGAGGAAACGGGTGGAGCTGAGCTGCATCTTCCGACTATGACCCCTGTGGTCCTCCCTCTTTACCATCAGATCCCTGTGATCCTCCCTACCACCAGACCCCTGTGATCCTCCCTACCACCAGGCCCCTGTGATCTTCCCTCTCTAATACCAGATCCTTGTGATTCCCCCCTCTACCACCAGATCCCTATGGTCCTCCCTCTCTACCACCAGACTCCCATGGTTCTCCATCTTTATCTTCCAATAAATATCTGTACATGATGCCCCTGACCCAATGTTATGCATAATACATGTATAGAAGGAAAATTAAAGTCTTCTTCAACCCCATGAATTAATCCCTTTTCTCTTTGCCATGACAAAAATTACTGAGACTTAAGGAAGGGTTTATGTTGGCTGACAGTCTGAGAGCACAGTCCATCAGGCAGGAGACAGCATGGAGGCAGGAACTTGAGTTGGGGAGCATAGAGATGAAGGCTGGGGTTCAGCTCATGTCTTCTTCATCCAGGCTCGGACTCCAGCTCTTGGGGTGGTGCTACCCAGACTCATGGTGGAGTTCTCAGCCTCAGTAGAATCTCTCTTGAAACAACCTCATCAACTGTGTCTCTTATACAATCCTCAACCCCTCAAGTTGACAATAAAGATCTACTGTTAGATTATATTTATATTATATTATACTCCAAAAACCAGAGAGAATCTTACTTTTCTTACTTTCTGTAGTGTCGCAGAATTAATATTCTCATGTTATTACCATTATTTCAAGGGCTTTCTTTCTATGAATATATAACTTACTCTCCAGTCCCTGTCTGAAGAACATGTATAGTATCATCCATTTTTTATACCGCAAATAATTTTACAATGAGCATCCAAAATGCTCTCTTGTGTTTTAAATTTCCAGCTTGAAGTACAAAACATTAAATTATTATTCATTAAATGAGCTGCTTTCTTACTCTTTTAATTTCAGCTTAGATAGAGATTCTCTCCTATGAAACGCAGAATAATTCAATTACTTTTTTTCCCTTGAAGTCAATAAAGTTGCTTTCAAGGCGCCGTGCTTCCAGCCCTCAGCTTACGAAACGAGCAAGTAATTGCTGTTCCTTAAAGCAAAGAGACAGACACGAAATCCAGTGTCGCTGGTACCCAACACACCTTGCTATCTCCAGGCTCCAGGAAGAAACGTGGCCACAGTCCCAATAGACAAGCACTACACTCTTGCAGGCCTGGTCGCACCTATCATCTGGGCAGGAAGGCACAGTCAAGCAATCAGGAAGGGCAGCCCAGATGAACCCTGGCAGGAATGTGTTTCTGATGCTCATCCATCCTACTTTCCTCTAGGCATCTGTCTACCCAGAGGGCATCTCATTCTTCAAGAGACATCTCCTGCTTCTCTTACCTGGCCTATGGGTCTCTTCCTTCTACCTACTCTTTCCCAGCCTTTTGTACTGGCCTCTGTTCCTCTGCCGAATCCCTCAAAAGGGATAGCAAGATGCATGTTTCTTGCCCCTCTGTCCCTCTTCTTCTGAGATGTCACTACTTCTGTTGTTTTTTCTCTCTCGGGCTGCAGGTAACTGTCAAAGGGGCCCCTGACCCTCTCTCACAGGCTCCCAGATCCAAGGCACTCTTTACAGCTCCCAGGGAACCCTGAATTTCTTTGCTGTCTTACTACCTTGCACCTGCCTCTCCCTTCCCCAACCCACCAAACCTCACTTGCACTTCAAGGCCAAAGCCAAGCTTCACATCATACCAAACACACTGTTCACTCACAAAGGGAAAAGGTGAGGATAAAATGGAGTTTGGATCTGAAAATACACAAGAGAATCAGAGATAAAGCTAAACAGCACACGGGAAGAAGGAAAGAGAGGCTTCTAGGAGACAGGAAGTTCTGGAGGGTGAGGCCAAGGTCAGGACCAGCCAGGAAGAGCTGCAGAGATGGAGTGGCCAGCTTACCACTCCACTAGACACGGTGGTGCTTGGAGACACAGAGCAGCTGCAGAGTTCCTGGCACTCTGGTTTGGGCACGAGAATGAGCCCTACAGGGTAGATTGCATGTGCAGCCCCACGAACACCCAAACTGCCTGTATCACACACAGATAGGGGTGGCCACTGTACAAAGGCTGAAAATTAAAACCACCAGGTTTGTTCTCTCCACAGTGACCTTTATTTTCAATATACATGCAGACTTAACCACCTACTCCCACACTGTCAGTTTCTTTAACCAATCTGACCATGAACTTCATGAGGAAATGAAATAAAATTCTTCTTCCCGGGGCTGATGCTCATGGGTTGAACTTATTCTGCCTCTTGGTGCTATTCCTCTAACCCCCCCCCCTTTGGCTAAGGTATGAGTTCCTTTGCTAACCTAACTAGGTACCCCAGCATGGGGCCCTGTATGTGGCCCACATCAGGGCTCAGGCACCCTGCCTTGTGGAAATTGTATGATTCTCAGACCAGCAGGCTCCTTGCTGGGCACATCCCGGCAGCCACTGTAAGGTCTCGCATTTGGGTCTTTCTCGGGTGGTGGAAAATTGAAAGTGTGCTTCTGTCCTTTCTCCATTAGCATCTCAGGTCTTTGGGGTCCAGACAATACTCACTTTACTTCCTAGAAACAAGTCAGAAAATGGATTGGTAAAAGCCTCACAGTTGGAGATAAACGCTTTGCAGTGCCTGACGGCCCCCCAAGGATTCTGTCGCTTGCTTGTTTTTCTCTTTCTAGTTCCTATTCCCTTTTAACCCATTTTAAATAGAACAAAATTCCAAAGGCATAAGCAACTGTGTCTCGTTTTCTGAGCCTGCCAATCTTGCCCACGTCTGCTTTGATGAGGGGAGACACACGTTTCAGCCAGGGTCACCTACCAGTCCCTCTACCACATTACATAATCCTGACTTGCTCCCAGGATCCTCAGGACACTTGGCTCCATCAGAAATTTTTCTATTTCTACTCCTGGTAGGTGGCCCAAATATGGTTGACTTTTTGTTAGACTATAATTTCGGTCAGCAAATGACTCACCCATGGCAGTGTCCTCTGGTTCTTCAACTAATTGTCGGTGGTACTTATTCCATCAGTTCAAGAGAAGAAACTAAATTCACAGAGTTATTTTAGAGTCCAAGACGAAAACAATACACTCTCAGAAAACGTTTTAGGGAAATGCATCTAAAATTCCTACAGCTGTTGCAATAGAAGCTGCCTCCTGGCATCTCTACCTGCAGCTAGTGAAAATTCTTTGCGGGTGATTTGCAACAGGAGCTCTTCTAATGGATTTTTCCCATAGTGTTCACCAGCTGCCCTGGATAGTGTCATAGTGTCTGCTTTTGAACACACACATATTCAATTATATATATATATATATGTATATATATATATTATAGAGAGAGGGGGTATATACACACAGTTGCCCATAGAAGCCAGAGTGGTATCAGATCCCCTGCAGCTGGAGTTACAGGTGGCTGTGAACCACCCATAAGTGCTAGTACCTGAAGTTGGGTCCTCTATGAGAGCAGTATGTGCTCTTAACCACTGAACCATCTTCCCAGCCTCTGAATTTATTTTTCTAAATTTTGCAGTGGTTACGATTGAAACTGCGACTCTGAATGACCAGGCAGGTGGCCATGGCTGAGTTACATCCCTAGCCATCCATTTGAATGTTTTGGCAAAACCTCCTAGAACAAACAGCTCCTAAGTATGGCTTAGCCTGAAACAGAAACCAAATCACGAAGTAGCTGTCGTCATTCCTCTCAAAGGACTAGTGTATCGGCCTAGCTTGATAAGCAGTGGGAGGCTAGGATGTAGACCTGACCTCTGTGGCTGGGTTACACCCTCAGCCTGTACCCTCACCTTTGATCCAGACATCCAAATGGACCTTCGCTCAGTCTCTTCAGGAGCCCAGCTTTACAAATCAATTTGGCGCCAGTCTAGGACTCCAGATGCTCCTCTGGCTTAATATAGCACTTTCATCATCATGGCTGCGGAAACGCATCCAGCTCACTTAATAAGCCACTAGCCCATCCCGGGGAAGCAGCTGATGAGGACCCCGGACCAGAGTCTTCAGCGTTAGGCTCCTATGCCCATCTGGCACTAAAAACGCGGTTGTACATTTAGACATCCCGGATTGGCCTCAGACCTTCTAGAGCGATCCTTGTGATGATGTGGTCAGTATCTAATTCATCTGGCGCTGTGTTGAAGCTTGGTAAAGACCATGGCATCTGGTTCGATCACAAATTTTCATTTTCTCACTGACAAAAATTCCAATTACCATCTGGAATTAGAAGGCCGGGAGTGCTCAGCTCCAGTGGCCTCTAGACGTGTCTCTTCTGCCTGCAAACCAAAGACGCAGACGATTCAGCGAGCATTGAGGGTTCCTTCTCTGCACAGGAACTAAGGGTATCCAAAGGTTGAGCTGCTTCTAGCCCCACCCTGGGATTCAGTGACCATCCAGTCTAGCCTAATTGTGAGCTCCAAGCCAGTGAGAGACCCTGCCTTGAAGGAACTGAATAGCATTCCTGAGGATGACACCCAGACTGTTCTCTGGCCTTCCCACACACACACACACATGCACGTTAAAAAAGACACACGTTATGACAGCCAAATGTGTCCAGAACTTAAAAGAATTTAATTGAAAGCCTACTAGTCACTATAAAGAGCAGATACTTACCCAGGACTCAAATATGAATAGGATGTGCCCCTAACTTTTTAGATAATGCTTCATAAAGTATTATGGATATATCTATCTATCATTAAAACATCCCCCTGGGTGGAATGCAAAGTTGGGTGGGAACACAGAGGCAAGACAGAGCAATTCTTCCCAAAAAAACAAACAAACAAAAAAGATAATAAGATAAAGAGACAGAATTAGAACATGTCCAGGTCCATGAGGTCAGTGCAAAAGCATCATTCTAATGGAGAGCAGATGGTGACAAAGGCAGGGAGGGTGTATGAGGTATGGGAGGAGCTCTCTGTGCCCAGGGGACTGTGAAGGAGAAGGACTTGGAAGTGTGGCGTACAGGTAGGCTGGGCCACATGGTACGATCACTTCTGTGTCCTGGTCAGGATTCTGGAGATGTTGTGAAGACAAGACAAGGTACCAGGCCGTTGTGGGCAGGGTATGATGTGACTAGAATAATTCTCCTAGACCTGCCAGGGCCGTGGCATGAATTTGAGTGGCAAAATGAGAGATGGGGAGATGGGTGGGAGGCTTCTGTCGTCTATAAGCGCTGACACGGTGGTAGAAGGAATGGAAAAAGAGGCGGGTGCACATACTGCACAGACAGGAGGATAGTAGGGAGAAGAGAGGCCAAAATGTACCCAGAGTTTAAAATCTCAGAGCTGGAGAGATGGCTCACTGGGTTAAGAGCGCTTCATACTCTTCCAGAGGACCTGAGTTCGGGTCCCAGCACTCACGTCTAGCAGTGTACAAACGGCTGTGACTCCAGCTTCAGGGGTCCTCTGCCGGCCTCCAGAGGCACACACCCACATATGTGCATACACACAAAAAATAATTTTTTCTAAAATTCAACTTTAGAATAACAAACCACGCCCAGAGAAAGCCAGAGAAGACGAGCAAAAGGGGCAGACTAAGCTGGTGTGATAATTAATTTTATCAATTTAACATAAGCTGGAATCACATAGCACAAGGATCTCAATAAGGGATAGGCTGTATCAGGTTGGCCTGTGAACATGTCTGTGGGGGATTGCCTTAACAGATGTGAGAAGACCTAGCCTTCTGTAGGCGGCACCATTCCCTAGGCAGGGTTAAGCACAAGTGAACAAGCAAGCACATAAGCCTGCAAACACTCATGTCTCTTGCTTTTGACTGTGGATGTGATATGACCTGTTGTCTCAAGTTCCTCATGTTGTGACTTCCCTGCAGTGATGGACTGCAACCTGGAATAAGACATAAACCCCTAAGTTGCTTTTTGTCAGGAAATTTTACCACAACAATAGAAATAAAAGTACAGGACAGGAGAGCTGATTCAGAGGTTAAGGGCACTGGCTATTCTACCAGAGGACCTGAGTTCAATTCCCAGCACCCACATGTAGGCAGAATACTGTATACATAATAATAAATAAAATCTTTTTGGAAAAAGAAAGAAAAGAAAAGAAAATGCCTTCATAAAATAGGGCTGTAGGCAAGCCTGTAGGGCATTTCTTAACTGGTGATTATTGTGGTGCCTTCCCTGGACTGGTGGCCCTGGGTTCTATAAGAAAGCAGACTAAGCAAGCCATGAGGAGTAAGCCAATAAGCAGCACCCCTCCATAGCCTCTGCATCCACTCCTGCCTCCAGGTTCCTGGCCTGCTAGAGTTCCTGTCCTGACTTTCTTCTATGATGGACTGTATCATGGAAGTGTAAGCCAAAGAAATCCCTTCCTCAAGTTGCTTTGGGGATGGCGTTTCATCACAGCAATAATAACCCTGACTAATACATCAGTAAAGTACTTGCTAGACAGGCCTGAGGATCTGTGTTTGATTCCCAGAACATATGGAAAAGCCGAGCATGGAAGCACATACCTGTGATCCCAACACTAGAGAAGCAGAGAGAGGAGGATTGCTGGGACTTGCTGACCTTCCATTATAGATCAGCTGGCTCAGGTCACCCAGGTCAATAACAGACCCGGGCTAAAAAAATAAAGTGGAGGGGCCGGCGAGATGGTTCAGGGGGTAAATATGCTTCTATTCAAACCCAGTGACCTGAATTTGATTCCTGGAAGCCACACAAAGGTAGAAGGAGACTCCACATAGTGTCCCCTGACCTCCACACTCACACACAATCATAATATTATTGCTGTTGTTGTTATTAATGAATAATTTATTATTATATACTAATCATTATTTTAAAGGAAAATGATATTGAAAATCAAATGGAGAGCGCTAGAGGAAGATAATCAATATCGATCTCTGGCCTCTACACACGCGTGCATACATACATGTGCACCCACACACATACATACACTGCTGCACAACACTTGAGAACCAGCACTTCAGAAGCACGTGACTCAGAAGCACGTGACTCAGAAGCACGTGACTCGGAACAGCTATAGATGATCCTAGCTCATCCCTGGCTCTATCCCCTTTTCTCTCCCTCCTGCCTGTGTTTTTGCAGGCATGCATCCTCCAGTGTGAAGGAAAGGTCTTACTCCGTCCTCTCTGGACTGCATGTGCCAAAGTCATGGCCAGTGACCCTGGGCAGCTCAACCCTGCTGACCCAGAGCTCGTGACCGCTGCTCTTTACCAGCCAAAAGCTTCGGAGATGCAGCATCTGAAGCGAATGCCCCGGGTCAGGAGCTTGGTGCAAGCGGCAGATACGGAACCTGGCACTGATGATGCCGACGAGGTGGAACAGAAGCAGTTGCAGAAGAGGTTTGGGGGCTTCACTGGGGCCCGGAAGTCGGCCCGGAAGTTGGCCAACCAGAAGCGGTTCAGTGAGTTTATGAGGCAGTACCTGGTCCTGAGCATGCAATCAAGTCAGCGCCGGCGCACTCTGCACCAGAATGGTAATGTGTAGCCAGAAGGAGCCCCTCCCAGCTGCACCGGCCACTGCAACCCATGAGTGAGTTGGGCACCAATTAGCAGGGGGCAAGAAGTGACCTCATATACCCAACTGTCCCAGGCCTAAAAACACATTAGCCAGCCCCAAACACACACACACACACACACACACACACACCACCCAATCCCTCTCTCTTTTCCCTACACACATCTCAAGAACTCCAGCTCTTCAGAGGCTGGATTGGTGAAGAAATTCACATCTCTGCCTCCTACCCATTTCTCCAGGGAGAAAGATTTTTCCCACCATTCTCCTTGAGGCTGACCACTCCCATTCAGACACTGGTTACCATGGGGATAATAGTAGTATGTTAAGATAACTAATTCCTTTATAGCTCTCCAGGAGCTTAGTTACTATGGGGACAGTTAAGTGGACCAATTCTAACCGTCAGTTACCATAGCAACCATTCAGCTCACCTTTCCTCGGAGACTTTATCTGCAAAAAAACATACCCAATAGCCAGCCCTCCTCTTAGCCATTTGCAAAAAGGCTGATTACCACTCTACTTCAAAGAGAGCTTATCCATCTCACCCTGCATCTCAAGGTGGCTAAACTCCATGGAAACCATTAATATTTCCCATTTCCCCCTGCCAAAGACCTTTTTGGGCCCCAGAGTCATGTTTTTTGCTCTTATTACTTCCACTAACAATTTGGCCATCCTGCACTTTGCCAAGGAAGGACCAGTATTGTGGTTTTGTTGTTTTTTTCATTAATGGCATCCTTGCTGAACCAGGACTGCAGAATTTGGTCCAATGGAGCTAGTAGGTGTTAGAATAAGGACTAAGGAATAATGAGTCTTCTTTTCTTCAGTTTTTTGGACTCGTCCCAGGATGCCTCTTGTGTTCTCTTCCTTTGCTCCCTTCCCACCCTCTGGTCCACACTTACACAGTCATATAAAGCCTCGGAGAACACACAGCAAAAGCCCAGTGACTGCCGGCTGATTCCAAATCCAGCTCTCTCCCGCCATCACCAGTGCATAACTAGGGAATGACATTAGGAATCAGCACAGTAGATTTAAGAGAGAGTCCAACTGTCGTCTGTGCTCCCTCCCCCTGTCCATACATGCCAGTGTGACCCTGAGCAGAGCCCCACCCATCTCCTGAGACAGCTTGGAAACACAGCCCCATGCAAAGCGCGAGTTAGCTGACCATATGATCCTGTCCCAACAGAAGCTAATTCCCGTCTCTGATGCAGAAGAGAAAAACACATGCATCCTCTCTTTTCTCCTCCCACACACCCAACATAATCATGTCGTTCATGGTCCTCTTTCAGGATAGAGTTATCCAATGCTAGTCTTTGGTGCCCACACTCTGGCACAGGGTCAGCCCCCAGGGCCCAAGCTGCTAGGTCCCTTGTTTGCAGCAAATTTATACCCAAAGATGGTCACATTTTTTTTTAGGTTGTGGGAGAAGGCCGCTGAATTTGTCTTCACAGAATGGTTCATCTCCAAAGATCCTGAGTGAACTTGCACTCCGTCCTTGACAAGCACCAGATTTCTTTCTAAGTCAGACCTGTCTGGTATCCAGTAGTAAATCTTCCAGAAGTAGCACGATTTTTTTCTAAGTCTTAATGGCATTCTCTACAGGGGCTCCTAAGGGACACCAAAGCCCATATGTAATTCTAAACCACAACAATATTCTTTACCTAAAGACAGTTTAAGATCAGTCCCATTAGCAAGAATCAATTTATTTGAAAGAAGAAAAAACTATTTGAGCCAGTCAATGGACTTTTCTGATTTTCTATTATACTTCCAGCTGAGAGGTGCTGTAGCAGGGCTAATAACCGGTTTCCGTCTGCTACTTTGCGCAACACGCAAAGTTCTTGATGGGAACATTAACCAGCTCATTTGGATATTATTAATGGCCGTCCTGCTGCCCTGTCACCAGCTCTCTCCCTCTCTCATCTGTGTGGGCACGGTGGTGAGTTCCAGAGTGGGTGTGTGTTAATGTGCCAGTCGTAGCCAACTGAGACCTTGGGCTTATCTACACACACACAGCCCAACTTGCCGCGTGCATGACAGAAATCCTTCCACTCCAGCCAGTTTCCATTGCTGTAGTTCTTCCTAGCGTTGAAGATGCCAACGCCAATCTATGCTCAGAAGATTGGAGTCGGGAGAGGGGGCCACCCAACCTGTCCAAAGCGTAATGACAACCTAGGAAGACGGGGCACTGCAGTGCAGACCCTGCCCTGGACAACACAGGAAGAAGAACACAGCAGGTCTTGGGGACTGCCTCTCCCGCTCTGACCTATCCTTCCAATGCTTGCTGCTGTGTCCGGCCTTGACCCTCTAGACATCAGTAGCACATTCATGACCCCATCCGTATTCTGCACATCTAGCCTAGAGAGCCTGTGTCACATAAGAGAACTTTGAGGACGCTGTGTTTCACATAGATGCTGAGAACCGGAGAGGGGATGAGTGGTGCTGGGAAAAGACTTGTCACTGGGCCTTTTAAGTCACTGCCCATCAGCCTCCCTTTCTATCCAACGCATCCCTCCTGTCAGCAGTAGGCAAAAGTGACAGGTAAGTGGAGGGCATTGAGTAAGGACCCCTTCTGGTCACTTTGGAATTTTTTCACTTGCTGTGGTGGCCCACTTTGGGTTGCTTTAGTCACTTGGGCAAACAGGATGGATGGCTTAGTGGACCTATTGGATTTGACATTTTGTTCCTTTCTGTCTCCCCAGGCATCCAGGTGACCCCCCGAACAGCATGTGTCCACACTCAGAAGTGCCGGCCGGGAGTCAGGATTCCTTCTTCCCTGAGGCATTGAGTACCCACAGCGACCCCCTGCCCAGTTGTTGCCCCCTCCCCATGGCATGTTTCACCACAACCCTGTTGCTACATCAGAGTGTATTTTTGTAACTCCTCCAGCTAACATTTCCACGGCCCCTTCTTCTCCCTCACCTTCCGCCCTCTTCTAGGGCCAGGGGAGAGGAATGTGAAATCAGACCCCGGGGTCTTGCGTTGCCACTGCCATAACCTGTTTGTAAAAGATCTGTTCTTTTTGACCGATCGTTTGAAACAACTCTCTCCATTAAACTTCTACTGAGCAAATGGTTAATAAACCCATTGGCTGTCTTTAAACGAGGCGAGGCGGCACAGTGCAAACACACACCACACCGTGAGAGCCAGGTGGGCAACTCCGGGGCTGGAAACTCTTAGACAGCTGTGGGGACCATAAAGTTGGCGCAAGGTGACACTGGGACATGACCACTGGGAAACGACCACGCCGAGGGCAACAGGCAAGGGCACTGTGAAGTCAGATGCAAAGGGCTGTGTGAACGCGTGAGCGGGTAGGTGATGGAGAGGGAGACAGCCATTCTCAACCTTTGCGTCCATCCGGCTGCTCCTGGACCCTACTTCCAGCTCTGGGCCCAGCAGGAACTTATATTTTTAACAGCTCCCAGGTGATGCAGAGCCTGGTGGTTTGGCACCAGCGGGTTGTGCTTTTTTCTCCATGTAACACTAAGTGTGGTAAGGTGTGTGACTATCGAAGTCCAGCCGGGAAACACGTTGGAGAACCCAATTGGAGGAACTGACCAGTTCAATATCTATGTAGTAGTCAGCTTTCATGGTCCATTTGCCCCTGCTGGAAGGACAGAATACAACTGTTTGTCTATAACCTCGAGGCACTAGTTCCAGGACCCCCTGTGAGTAGCAAAATCATCCATTGCGCAAAATAGCACATTTGTATATAACCTACATACAAGCTTCTGTGTATCAAAATTATTTCTATGCTCTCTACTATAACATAAATATCATGCACACAGTTGTTTTATTGTACTGTGTAGATACCAGTGGACAATTGCACCACAGAATGGGTAAATTATGAACAATGCCTAATTTACTCTGCTCACATTTCCTGAGGTCAAAAAGCAAAAGATTAAGGGGACTTCACTGTCCAGCAATGCTGAGACCCCAGCCCCGGAGATGGCTGCCAGGCACAGAAGCAGCTCTCCACTCCTCTGGCTCTCTCTTCCAACAGGCACACACTCCAGCTCCTGCCTTTCCTGAACAGGATGCCAGCTTAATGCAAAAATAAAATAAAAGATACCAGATCTCCTTCCCACACTCCAGCCACCCCCTTAAAATCTAAGAGCTGAGCAGGGTGGTGCACACCTGTAATCTCAGCTCTCAAGAGGCAAGGGGAGGCCATGCTGAACTGCATAGAAAATACCGGGGAGGGGAGGGGAACCAGATAGCTCTTACAAGGGCAGCACAACCCCCTTCATACTCCAAATGTCCTTAGAACACTTAAACACATCTCCCACAACTTCCTGTGGCCTGGCTTGACAGGCTCTTGGAATGATTAAAATTGAATAAGCCAATGTCTATGTGGGGGGGGAGGGGAAGGGGTCCTTTCTGCTTCTAGGACCCTGCCAACAGAAGCCAACTTAGCTAGCATCTGTCCACAACCTGTGAAAGTCAATGCCCTGCAGAGACTACACAGAGAACCCCTTCTGTAGACACCGTGCTATGGTTTGACATGTCTGCAGAGGTCCCCAACCTTCATGTGCCTTGATGTGCTGGAGGCATAATGTTTGGGGTGGCAGTGGGAGGTCGTGCCTGAGGAAGGGACCCCAGCCTCTCTAGCTTCCTATGTTCACACTGTGATCCCTCCCTTGGTATGAGTTCCCAATATTGCCACCTGTTCCGGGAGGTGATGTGTTCAGTGCAAGACCCTGCACCATAGTGTTTGGTTTTTCAGCCTCTAAACCTCTTGCTTTCAAAGTTAGCCCACCTCAGGTATTTTATTATAGCTATGAAAAGCTGATGGATATATAGAATGTCACTTTCTCCCAAGTTCCCAACCCAGTCTCCATCAGGCATAAAAATATGCCCATAATATGTCCTCTTTCGAAAATGAACATAAGTCATAGAAAACATTCACTGCCCAGATTACAATACCAATGCCCACCTGATGGAGGAAGGACATTGGTTAATTATAATAAAGAAACTGCCTTGGCCCATTTTATTGGTTAGAACATAGGTGGGTGGAATAAACAGAAGAGAATGCTGGGAGAAAGAAGCTGAGTCAGGAGTCGCCATGATTCTCCCATTCCAGACAGATGCAGGTTAAGATCTTTCCTGGTAAGCCAGCTCGTGGGCTACACAGATTATTAGAAATGGGTTAGATTAATATGTAAGAGCTAGCCAATAAGAGGCTACAGATAACGGGCCAGGCAGTATTTAAAAGAATACAGTTTCCGTGTAATTATTTCGGGGCATAACTAAGCCATGAGGGCGGCCGGGTGCCAGGAACGTAGCCCGCCGCTCGCTCAACACCCACCCTATCCCAGTCTGTACCCTTGGCAAGATATCAACCTCCCTGCCTCATCTGTTAAAGCAGCTGTTCTCAAAGGGTCACGACCCCTTTGGAGGTCGCATATCAGATAGCCTGCATATCAGATACTTACAATTCATAACAGCAGCAAAAGTGCAGTTATGAAGTATCAATGAAAATAATTTTATGGCTGGGGGTCCCAGAACACGGAGGATGGTATTAAAGGATCGCAGCATTAGAAAGGCTGAGCACCACTGCCATCAGCGCTCGGTCTGCTCCCTGGTAAATATGGCCCTGCTTGAATTTGTTTTAGGACTTTGAACCTAGAGCCACACATGTGCTCCTCCACTGAGCTGCACTACCAAGCGACTGAAATTATAAGTGAATGGGTCTCGATGCCTAGTGTCACGTGATACCATGTGCAACTTATTGTAGGAACAGGAAAGAACTCAGTGCAGGCACACGCTAACTCAGACAATGTACCATTTTATTCCTTATAAAATATATTTCATATCATTGCTGTAAAAACATTACATTTCATTTCACATTTAAAAAAAAATCTTAACAGTAAAAATAATACTTGGAAGACAGCGGGGCTGGGGTGGGGGAGGGGAAGAAGCGCCGATAAGACAAATTCACAGATGGGATTCTTTTCCCTTCTTGTTTTGCTTTAATCTTTTTTTTTTTTACTTTTATTTTTTATTTATTTTTTTGCCCCTGCTAAAGTCAGAACCTGGGGTGACCAGAAAGTAACAAAACAGATTTCTTCCACCAAATCCGTTTCCATATCCAATTTCACAGGGTACTCTAAGGCGTCGAGCTATACACTCACTGTGACAAGGCAGCCATTGCTCGCAGCACTGTCTGAAGAGACAAAAACTGCTTCCAGGGCCAGGTTAAAAGCCTTATCATCGATCCAAGCCTTATGTTACCGGAGAGCCCTTTGGCTCTGTACCTGAGACTTCGGCTGGCCACAGACAGTAACCCTGGACTTGCAGAACGGAGTTGGGAATGATGCAGACTCATTTGAGGCTGCTCCCAACATGGCACCAAGTCTGAAAGGAACTCTGAGAGCGCTCCGAACAACGGAAACACGGCTAGACAGTTTCCAGGACAACTACTTGCAAACTAGGGCCTGTTGGTTTCAGAAGCACACCTGTGGCACCTTCACCCAGTCAGGTTCCAAACCCAGGGGGCTGGGAGGCAGGGAGCTAGAGATGAAGGAAGTGGGCCTGACGGCTGGGTGTGCTCACAAGCCACCCTTGCCCTCCAAACCCAAAGCCAGACCATGTGACAGGAACCAACATGAAAGCATCAAGATGAAGGAGCACGGGGGAGGAGGGGGCGAGACAACAGTGGGCGGGAGGCCACCACCGCCAGAAGAGAGAGAACGATTGCCAACAGTGGAAGGCTGCACAGAAACAGAATAAAACAGAACTGAACAAAATCAAAACTCTCTCAGTTTCTAAGCCATCCCATCTATTTCTTTTTTCTTTTTCTTTATCCTCTTCCTTCTCTGCCTGGCAAGCCAATGGCATAGGAAGCCTGATTCGAATGGAGAAAATTATTATGGTCAGTTACATCTGCACACTCCAAACCGAGGCTGGGGGATTACAATGCCTCTGCTGAAGTGGAGGCTTAGTCCACACTGGGATTAAGAAGGGGAGAGGAGAGTTTCCTGGTGAGGTCTATCTGTCTCTATAGTCCCCTCCCCTCTCCAGTAAGATTGGAAGCTGAGCATCATGGGAAGTAAGGAGAGAAAAGAGACTTCTGCTGCCAGCTTTTAATTATCCATAAGGTTGAAGGGGCAGAAGAACCCAGGGCAGCCTCTGGCGGGTTAGGTTTGTTATAAAAACAAATCCCTACCAAAGACACTGGTGTCTCTTCCCTCCGTCAGCAGCCCAGGCTACCACTACAGCCTTCACATCACATACACAGTCTCTTAGGTTCTTAAGTGTACTTAGTGTGTCTCAGACTGAAAAGCAGACATGTGTTTCCCATGTAATTAATGTCACCAGTGGACCCTCAGTGGTCAGGAGGATGGTCTCCGTAACAACTGCCCAGCCCTTGGAGAGGTGGCCTGGTGGAACTCCCTGAGCCCATGACTCCCTGGGCTGGGTCTGGGAAGCAATGTTCAGCAGGCGCAGGCAGAGTCTGCTAGGATCTCCCATAGCCCACTCAGGAAAGAAGGCTTCAACATCAAAGACCCCCACCGCAGACAGGACCAGACATTCTAAAGCCTCTGTGGCACTGGAGGGAAGAGGCCTCAGGAAGGACTTCACTCAGAGGGAGCAGTTTCTGTGGAGACCCTCCACACTTCCTCTCAGAGCTGGAAGGATACTCACGGGTAGTGTTTCAAGGCCACATTCTCAAACTTAATTTGTATTAGCCTTTTGGTTCAGTGTTTGAGAAGAAGCCACATGTTTACTTACAAGCAACCCAACATCTGAGGGGAGCCAGATCCAAAAGTTGACACGGTAAAAGGGTGTCCCTCTTCCGTCCCCAGAGGCTGCTCCCACAGAAGTAACCCTGCATCTCGCCAAGTACAGCCAGCCGCCTGCTTTTCTCGGAGCCCTGCTACTGCTCCCTGGGTCATCCACCTGCCAGAGAGGGCTTTTCTTTTTTCTAAGAAGGAAATTAATTTTGCTCACAGTCCATTCTGGAACAATTAAAGGAGCAAAGGTTTCACCAGCTCAGCACAAAAATGGGCAAGGCATCTTGGCCTACTTTTGATGCACACAAACTAGTCCCCAAGAGGGCGGGGGGTGGGGGTGGATAATTCTTTGGTCTCTGGTTCGCTGCAGAATACCCTTGGTCAATTTTGGCTCTCTCCTATTTTAGGGGGAAAAAAATATTTTCTTTTCTTTTCTTTTTTTTTTTTGTTTTTCTTTTTTTTTTGTTTTTTTGTTTTTTTTTTAAATAAAACATTCCCACAAGGGGGAGAAAGTGTTTTTAAGTGTTAAATCTTAGCCAAAGGAGTCCCAGCGGCCCACATCCACTCCACATCTCTCTGTGTTCTGCTGATGGCTGCAGGCCTGGAGACCTCCTGGTTGCCAGGCAGGGTAAGGAGTGGGGCTGGGAGAGGCAGGCTCAGTCCAGGAAGCGCTGGCAGGCCTTCTTCCACCGGCAGGCTGTGCACCACTGGTCCCGGTGCTCTATGCCGTACACCTTACGGCACTTCTTGGCTTCTCCGCGGGCTTTCCTGACAGGAATGAAATGAGGGTGGCGTCAGGCAATGGAGGTTAGACCCAGTCGATGGCCACGCATAAGCAGGCAAGCACGCAGGAGCTAGGAGGGGTGGCTTCTGGCACAAGTTGGTGGACCCAGTCAGAGACTCAGGGGAGAGGAGCCAGTTCCACCAGTGTGGCCTCTGTCTGAGGACAAACCCTGGAGACTAAAGTTGGGTCGATTTATCCCCAGTGCTGACAGGGGGCAGAAACCCCAAGGCTAAGGATGAAATGGCTCACCTGGAGCTGCTCTGAGCCCGGGGTGGGGAGGTGACAATCAGGTGAGACTTCACTGTGGGCGGCGGCTGCTGGGGCTCGCTGAAGCTGAGTGACCGACTGCGGACCTGGGTATGAGGGGGAATAAGCACAGCTGTGAACATGAGACTCCCTCAGGACTACAATGAAACTCCCTGGGCTGTGACATGCATGCCTCCCTGAGCCCCACAACAGGTGCTGGTACAGGGGACCATGCAGCCTCCCCAAGAAGGTCAGGGCCAGAGACAGGAGTCACCCTTAAAATTTTAGGGGAATTAGAGGGAGTTACCATACAAGGTGTAAATGGAAACATTGAACTGCCTTAGTGACACCTTCTGTCAACTAGGTTCTGCCAAGTGTGATACTTCTCTGTGGCAGACACTTGAAACTAGAGTCACCCATATGTGGTTCTAATGACTTCCAATCTATTTCAGTCCAGAGTCATGGGTACAAGTTCATAGTGGTCTGAGACTTCTGGTGCAGCCCACCCAGCCTCCGAGTGGTCTTCCTTCTTGTTCTCCCTTCCTTTCATCTAGGCATCAGAACTCTAACAAGCACTCAGACATTCACAGAGCAAGGGAGTGAGCTTACCCTTGTCCAGTACATTTCTAAGGAAGGAACTACTCCACCCTGACTCCCCGTGAAGACCCCTCCTAGCTACTGAGAGGAGTTGTAGCCAGATAGAGGAGGCTACACGGTGATCTTTATGAAGTATAGGGACAGAGACAGGCAGCATCAGTCATGCGCTGTGTCCTCCAGCCCTGGGGGTGTATGCAAGAGCTTTGGAGGTATGGAAGCGCACACTCACCGGAGAGAGCGGGGAGGTGGTGGTAGGGGCAGCAGCCCAGCTAATGCTGGTGTAGATGTGGGGAGAGACGGGGATCTGGAAGGACGGCAGAGCCTGCAGAGACAGGAGTGTGTTAGTCTGTGCTCCAACTCAACTTCCCATTAGCAACCGAAGGAGGAGCTCTGCCCAGGCAAGAGCCTGGAAAACACCAAGACGGCTAGATAGGTTTTCCCACGAGCAGCCTCAAAGCCATCTAATCCACCATCAGCACAGCCTCCTTCTTCCTGAGAGGCGCTGATCTTACTCTGTCGCCCTCCCTTCGGGGCTGCTGACATGCCAACCCCACGATTTAGTCCTTACAGGGTGGTGGTCAGTGGCTGGGTCACCTACGGAGAAAGTGCTTCAGGCAAAACTTCCAAAGCCCTCTAAGTCTGAGCAGTATTTCCGAGAAAGGACAGAGAACTGCCAGGCAACTCCTCAGGTACAGGCAGGGATGTCTGATTTAGGTCTATCTCTGGACCACGAATTCTAATGAGGATAGCCTGCTTATTTTGTACTTTTTCTCACTGAAAGTATCATTGGTTTAGGGGTTTTGTTTTATTTTGATTTGTTTTGTTGTTGTGGTATTTTTGCCCTTACTATGTAGCCCAAGCTGACCTTGACCTCCCAGGTGCCAGCATTAGAAGTATGACAACCACACCTGGCTGGAAGCACTATTTTTTATTTACTAACTTGCACACTGGTCAGGTCTGCTCAAGTCAAATTATAAACTAAACCAGCATACGGGAATAGGAGCCTTGCTTGCATGGTGAAGGTCATTCTAAATGACACTGTCATCCTCCACACGACAACTTCTCTCCAGGCCCATGAGAATGATGGAGTTTTCTCCTTTGGGACTATGCCGTGCCTTTCCGTGTCTCGAGGAAATGGCACTTTGACAACTTATAATTAGTCCCAGCCAACCCCACTCCACCATGTACGTCATGAGGTCATGGCCCAGTCTAACTGGAAGGCTTACCTAACCCAGTGTTGACATCCAGTAGGTGCTCAGAGCAGCACCATTCAATGAGCTAAGCAGCTGCCTGGGAAGCCCTGCGTGACCCTGCCTACTCTTCTAGGCGGCCTTGGAAGTGACAGCTCTCGGTTCACATCCTGACATGCACTGCTCTTTGCACTGAGTATCTCTGAGTGTTTGCTGCTGCTGATTTTGAGACAAAGTTTGCATGTAGCCCAAGCTGGCTCTAAACTCCCCAAGTAGGAAAGGATGACCCTGAACTATTCCTCCTGTCTCCACCCTGAGGGCTAGTGTGTGCTGTGTGCCTTACACTAGGTTTATGCTCAGAGCAACCCAGGGCCCTGCGCATGCTCAGTAAGCAACTTTACCAACTGGCCTATATCCCAGCCTTTCTTTTCCTTCTCTGTGGAAGTAAGATTAACAACTCAGCCAAAAGGCTCAGTCTTAATAAGGTGTGCAGAGGCCTGCGCTCCGACAGCCAGTGACCACTGAGATCCCAGGCTAAGCCCCCCCCACCGCATACGCCTGTTCCAAACCTGGTATGCATGGTCAGCCTGAATGTGCCAGAAAGAGCCAGGAGCTGACTTGCTGAGTGCAACTGAAGGCAGGGGAGACTCCAGGCCAGGGTGTTCAGAGCCAGAGGACTGGACTTTGGGTGGAGGCAATGAAAGAGCAGCAAGGGACGGGCTGGTCACACGGGAGGTGGGGGCTGGCTCGCCGATGGGTGTCCCAGGGGCAGGGGGGGCAGCCAAAGCCAGAGCAGATTCTTCCTTCATCTGCATCTCTGTATAGTAAAAGTCTTCCTCCCGATTGAACTGATCAGAGTCCACAGTGTCCCTGTGTGGAACAGACATTCGACCATTGTTAAGAACACACTGCCTTAGTTTGAAGCCAGAGAAGAGAAAGGTACAAGGAGGAAGTGACCACTTGTGCCCACCCAGGAAGTTGGGGAGGGTACCCAGGAAAATACTCAGGAGCCCTGCGCTCAGAGGCTATCATAAAAGGTTAGAACTGCCAACCCATGAAAGCTGTTCTTCCCAGCATGAGGGCTCACACAACAGTGAACATGTATGAACACAGACCTAGTCTTATTATGAGCCCTCTTGGGGCCCATCTATAGCATGCTCTCACATCCTGTGAGGCAGTGAATGCCAGAGGAGCTGCCCTGAGGGTTCTGTTCAGAGATGAGGCCCTCACGTTGGTGTCTCGGCGCTGATATAGACCTAACTTCCATCTACAGAAGCAGAAGTAAAACTTGGCCACTAAGCCTAAGCCACAGAATCTCACCAGTGACTAAACCAAACAGTTCTATTTCTACCCAGAATTGAAACATCTAGCTTCCTACACCAGGTAGGAAGATACCACCACAAGACACACAGAGCTAACTCTCTGGCAACAGCACCAACACTGACCACGATATAAAGAGTCTCCCTGCCCAGCGAAGGCATCATACATTCAGTGGTCAGGGAGGGGGACCGGGAAGTGCCTGTAGCAAGTCAATTCACTAGAAGCCTCTGGGCTGCGAGTCCTGTGGAGTTAGCAGGGTAGAGGCACACCTAACAAGCACCTTAGGCAAGAGGCACTGAGCTCGGGACCTACCCCAGGTGGAGGGCTTTCACGTGCCGTTTGATGCCCACGATGGAGCGCAGAACTTTGCCACAGCTGGGCCACAGGCACTTGTACATCACCTTCACGGAGTTCTAGGGGAGGGAGAAAGAAGTCTTAGTAACCAGGGTGTGCGCATCCTCTCCCTGGCCTCTCTCGTCACCTGATGAGGACTTCAGCTGGCTGCCATCCTTCGCCAGGCCCAAAAGAAAAACCTCCAGGTAGGGGGCTCCCAGAGAGCATAAAAACATGCCCAAGAGAACCTGAGAGTACCTGGTGGCCACATTAATGTGTGTGTGTGTATGTATATATGTGTGTACATGTGTATACACACACACATAGTAGCATACACTTGTGATCTCAATGAGTGGCAGACACAGTAGATCCTAGCCTACTGGTGAGCTTCAGAGCAGTGAGAGCCTATCTCAAACACTAAGAAGGCATGAGGTGGGAGAGGTGAATGACACCTCAAGACAATACCTGAGGTTGATCTTTGGCCTCCAGGTGCATGCACACCCACAAACATACACACCCCCAAAAAAGGAAAAGGAAGCAGCCTCAGTCTAGGGATTTCACCAACAGGTGCCACAAAGGAAAACTAGAAGCACCCGGGACCCATGGAGTCCCTGCTTCCCTGGGGATGGCTGTCCCCACGTGCTCACCGGTCACCTACCTTCCTCTTGCGTGGGGCTGGTTCATCCAACAGGAACGGGTCAGAATCCGTCTCAAAGCCATGATCGGTTTGGGGAGACCCAAAGGCATCACCTAGGTACTTGGGGCTGGCCTGAGGGTGGGGAGGTGAGGGGGTGGAGACGCCACTGCTCCCGCTCCAGTGCCCGCTGGTAGTGCTGCTGCCGCTGTCTGACACGTCACCGCTCTCCTTCCACGGGTCACCGCAGGCTGCACGGGAAACTAGCCAGAGAGAGGTGAAAGGACACTCAGGGGGCTTGTCCCCAGGAACAGAGAGAAGAAGGGAGCAAGTAAATGGTGAAAATAAAAATATTACTAAAATTTTAATTATTAAAGAAATTTCTTCCTGAGCTACAAGATGGGGGAGGTGCAAATGCTATGGCAATTTTTGGTGCTATAACTGTTCTGCCTGGTGGACATTTTCTGCCATGGCCACATGGGTCACCACTGAGAGAAACCCCAAGCCTCAATTTATTTATTTATTTTTTTACTTTTTTGATTGATGGGTCTGTAGGCTGCTTCAGACTCAAGCTGGACAATTGATCGCATAAGATGAGCTGAAAGTCTAATACATGGGAGCAGCAAGAAAGATAGAAAAAAAACACCAAAAACAAAACACTTATGCTCCCAGCAGCCCAGCTCCTATCCAGACATTCAGAGTCTCCTGACCCTAGGCCTAAAGACACATTGCCACACCCTAAGGAATCAGGACAGATCTGAAGGCTGGGCCAACTCCAAGGTTCCATGTTTCCAGACAAGGTTCTCTTTACTTCTAGGAGACGCTTGCCCAAATGGGATTCTGGATAAAGAGCCCCTCCTCCCCAGGTACCCCTGCCCAATCTTAAAACTCTCATCACTTGCTCTTCCTGGAAACTGAGAGATTCCCATCGCGACTCACAGAGTTTAAAATAGTAAATATTCAGGGCAGAACTCGAGAAGCATCCAAAGCAACTGATCATGGACTCATGATCACAGGCCCAAGAGGTAACAGCAGCCTTGTCTCCCCCACCCCCTTCAGCTACTTTCCTGAATCTGTTGACTCAACTTCTTGGACTTCTTAAGAATTTAGCATCCCTGCTCTGGGTCTTCTTTGTGCATGTTAAAGCAGCTGCACTGCCGGGGTTCACCACTAGGTGTCCCAAAGTGCGGCAATAGCCTCTGGATGGAATAATTAAATTGGCTTTCAATCAAAGGAGATTATTTGGGGCTGGAGAGATGGCTCAGAGGGTAAGAGCATTGCCTGCTCTTCCAAAGGCCCTGAGTTCAATTCCCAGCAACCACATGGTGGCTCACAACCATCTGTAGTGAGGTCTGGTGCCCTCTTCTGGCCTGCAGGCATACACGCAGAAAGAATATTGTATACATAATAAATAAATAAAAATATTTTTAAAAAAAGAGATTATTTATGAGGGACACTGGTAAAGGCCACTTTTCTCTCAGTGTGAATTAGAACTAGCTCCATATTCTCCTACAGACTTTTAAATAGCTTTTAGGACCGGCAGATAAGGAGTTTCCATGCTGCCCTCCCAAGTGCTGGGGAAGCATCTCGGGATTATAACCGAAGATTTCTGTTTGCATCTATAAACCTGAAGTCATATTACTAGGGACTTTTTATTACAGTATCTGTGGAGTGTGTGTGTGTGTGTGTGTGAGAGAGAGAGAGAGAGAGAGATGTGGTGCATAAGTAGAGGTCACAGTCACTGTCACAAAACCCCAAGGACTTTCTGCTCCGATGAGGAACCTGAGCCTCTGACCAACAGTCCTGAGAGCCTCCAGAACCCTATGGCCTGGCATCAGAAGCTGGAAAGAAAGAGCATCGGTCGTGAGCCTCTGCCAGATCAGGAACCAGTGCAACACCGCTTGCTCACCAGAGAAGATGGGCTCGGCCCCAGGAGGACTCTGCACAACAGGACTGCAAGACAGAGATGTCAGCACCATTGCGGCCATCATCTCGTCCATCTCCACGGCATCCGACTTCCTGCAGTCAAATGGGAGGGGAGCACGTTACTTCCTGGGCCCGCCTGGCCCACCAAGCCCACAGATTAAGCTTCCATGTCCACTTATTTTCATGGGATCCCCTTACACTGCTATGTTCTCCCCTCAGATCTCCCACCCAAGCAACCAGCATGAGCTCAATGGTCAGTAAAACAGCAAAGGTGGAAAGTGCTTGTTCTGGGTGGTGTCTCAAGGAGCCCAGGATGAGCAGGTGGGCCTCCCCACTTAAACCGGAGCTGATACCTGAGATAGTACCGCTCTCCCCAACTTTCCTTCTAACCCTAAAACTTGAAACGGAACACTGTATTTGGGAGTGGAGAGAAGAGTCAGAATGCTAAGATGAAGCATGGGAATACAGAATGCCCACTAGGATCTAAAACTACCTCCTTCCCCGCCTTATATTCAAATTTAAGAGGAAACAATTACACTAATGGATTTCTCTCTCCCCTCTGCCAAAATAAACACGGCATTCTGTTAGCTTCTGAATGTCAACAGAACCTATTACATAAGTCAGTGAGCAAACAAACCGGGGTAAAATAAATAACCAGATGAAACCATCTCCCACTGTTAAGCTCCATGCTTTAAACAGGCTGCACGAGAGTTTATGTGTGCTTTCTTTTCTCTCCTTTAAATCCATAGTTACATGATTTGTAAGTAAAATAAGCACTATCCGAAATCTAAAGTATTTGGGGGAAATTAGAATATAATCAACTGCCAGTGGCTTGCCTATTTCAAAGGACTATATTCACTCATATTTATACACCGTGTCTACCAAACTGTGCAGCTGGGTTTGACCAGATGGACCAAAGTCGTCAACATATTAAACATTACATGGTCTTTGTGTTTTCACTTCCTCAGAATAGAAAAATAAGTTCTCTGCTGGTCTTCCACTGGATACGATGCTGTCCCTCTGGTCTTAAGACAGTGGGTCTCTGCTGGGCCAACAAGATAGCTCAGTGGGTAAAAGTGCTTGCTGCCAAGCCTGGCTAGCTGAGTTCAGTGCACAGTACCCAGAGGGGAGAAGAGACCTGACTCCTGAAAGTCGTCCTCTGCCATCCACACGTGCACCATAGCATGTACACATACTAATTTAAATTACACACATGTAATTTAAAATAAGTTTTAAACCGCCTGGTCTACCAACAGCCCCCACACCCACAGAAGCGGGTGGAATGGAGTTTAGCTGTTTGCATTATCTTGCATGTAAAATAGCCTCAGCTGGCCAAGTTTCTTGCTTTTCATTTTTATTTATTATTATTGTGTTCATGCACGCTGTGTGAGCTTTAGTGTGCTCATGCCTTGGCACACACGTGGAGGTCAGAGAAAGCTCTGTGGAGTAGGCTCTTCCTGCTACCTTTACAGGGGTCCCAGGCAGTGAACTCAGGTTGTTGGGCTTGCACAGAAAATGCTTCAGACATACAGAGCCATTTCCCAATCCCAGATTTTCCTTTTAAATCTTAAAAGATCAATATAGATAGACCATTAGGTGCAAATCAGGATCTACAGTCCCAGGGCACATCCTACCATTAAGCTCCAAAGTAGAGTATCTATTCTTTACCCCATGGTTCTTAGCACCCAAGTGAAGAATCAGACCATGCTCCAGACACAGCCTGCTGGCCGCCTGTCCAGTTTTAAGCCAACAAAGGATGGATTTACCTTTTCAAATGCTATTTTAGAATCAAAAGCATTTCACTCCTTGACAGATGATACAAACGAAAGTGAGTCACAGGAAAGTTTGGGGACTGACTGTTTTTCACTGGTGCACGGCATGCCTACAGGCTTTTATGTCTGTGGCTGCTACACCAAGTAGCAATGATGGAGTCTGCTTGGCCCACAAGGCTGAAACCATTCGTCTCCGCCCTGTATGGAGCCGGTGCTGGCACTCTGTCTCATCTGTTCCTGTCTCTTCTCATGAAAAACTAGGAGCCGAGTTTAAACCTCCACCAAACCAACTAGATGTAACCCCTAATAGAGTTTTGGAGAAGGAAGGGTGTTACCTAGGCTTCCTTCAAAGGATGCCTCTTCTCTCTCTAGCGTCACTATCGCAGCAAGCAGGTACCCAAGACCCCAACACGTCCCAGCCCGTATCTATAACCCCCCCACACATACCTCTTAGGGACATCGATGTTCCTAGATACGGGTCTGTAGGTTGGCACCTGGGATGTGGGACCCTGCAGCTCTGCCAGCCACACCTCTTCCACTTTACAGCAAATCTGCAACTTCTGGTCCAGCAGCCGCACTGTCACCTTGTCCTCCGCCCAGCTGTGCTGCTCCACCAGGCCCTTGCACTCCTGACCCCCATACCACACACAGACCTGCAGGGGAATGATGGCCCGCGGTCAACACTCAGGACCCGTAGAGATCTCAGTGCCGGGAATCAGGCTGCCTGCTGCAGTCTGTGCTTTGACACGCTCATCTCTAATGTGTGCATGCTAAGATCTGGTAGACACCCCCAGTGTGCGTGTTAGACACCTAATCCTCAAGACCAGGGTCAGGAAGTGGGGTGTAGTGTGAGTGGACGTCATGAGGACTGCTGCTCTCTCAACAGCCTGTCACAACAGGACAGGATTATCCGGAGACTGGGATGGCGGGCAGGGAGAGTAAGCCAAGGTGCAGACCCTTGCAGTCTCCTATCCTCATCCTCCTCTCAGACTCTGTTGTTTCCAGAAGTTTGAGCCAAATAAACTACTGTCTACACATTTCCCCGCCTTGGGTATTCCATTATAGCAGCCTGGACGGGCCAGGGGAGAGCAGAGATTCCCAGACACCTGCTGCCCACCCACGCTCTCGGGCTAGCCACACGGGATCAAAGCTTCCTCGTACAGCTCCGCATACACTTTCCACCCTAGAAGGCGGTGAGCAGGCCAGCAGCTTCTCTGAACCCTAAATCTATATGCATCCTTCAGTTACTCATGCCCCTCTCCTTGCCTCTGAACTCTTGAATACCTCTGACTCACTGCTTTTCTTCTGTAGGGTTCTAAGTCCCATTCTCCCCAGTATGCACTGGAAAGGAAGGGGGTAGACTGCTCTCTCATCGGGATACCTGAAATTGAAAAACTACCTTATCTCATAAGGACAAAAGTCTAGGGGACACCAAGCTTCATGGAAGATAAAGGCCAAGTCTTTAGGTGGTCCCTGGAGAAGGTAAGGGCAAAAGCCCTGTGAATCTGGATCTAGTGATAAATCAGGCCTAGGTGACCAAGGGCCCAGCCATGGCGAGGGGATGCAAGAAAAAAAAAAAAAAAAAACAGTTCTTATCAGATCTGGACTACACCTCTTCTCTGGCGCCTGTGCCGAAGGTCCTTCTCCTGGCTGCCTAATTTTGTGAACTGAGGCAGACAAGAAGCCACTAAGCTGAGGCCATGCTTTGGCCTGAGGTTCTGAGCATCCCAGAATGCCTGGCCACTTTTTCCTCCACATGACAATCATGGAGAAGCCCTGGTCTGAAATGACAGCATATTCTCTGTCTAGAGACCCAGTTTATAGGACTTCCAGCCCATCACTTAGGTACCACTAGGCTGCCAATCCCAACACTCAGAGAGGGTACCTGTCCATGTTAGCATCAGCCTACCTTCTGTCCAGGCTGAAAGGCCACCTGTGGATGGCCTGAGGTTCCCAGAGTCTTGAGGACCTCCTTGGGCTGCTCCTGGCACACAGGGTCCTTAGAGGTGAGTGAGGGCTGGGGTGCGGCTCCTTCCGGCACTTCTACCTGTGGCTCCAAGGGCAGGCTGGCCCCCAGTGGCACCTCAGAGGCACTAGGTCCCAAGACCCGGGCTCCCAAGAGGGAGCGCTTACCAAGACGTCGGGACAGCATGCTGGATACTCGGCTGCGCCTGTTGAGGAGACAAGAGTGTCAGTGTGTCAGCGAGTAAACTAACTCTCCCCCCCCCCATGTAGGTTGCAAGGATAAACTCAGGACATCGGGCTTGCAGGCAAGCTGCTTTACCTGCTGAGCCATCCTGTTGGCTCTACCTTTTCTTTAAAGAAAAAATTAATGCCTATTCCTAGGAGGTCATGTAAAAAATATTGATAAACTCAAAGAAAATAAAATCATTTGTGACCCTGCCTCCCAAAGATACCCACTCCTCCCCGCTCCCATTTTCTTATTCTTATTGTTTTTTTTCTTTTTTAAGACTCCTGTTTCATATAGCTCAGGCCAAAATGTCCTATGCAGCTGGGGATGACCTTGAAGTGCTGACCCTCCTGCCCCCATCTCACAAGTATTCACCACCATGCCCATCTTATGTGATGCTGGAGGACAAACAGGGCTCCGTGCATGCTTGGTAAGCACTTTACCAACCAAGCTACATCCCCAGCCCTGACTCCAATTTTTTTTCCCCCTAAAAACATCCCGCTCCTTCTTTTATAACTTTACTCGCGTACTTTCTGTTCTTATTTTGTTTTGCTGCTGAGGCAAAGTCTTCCTAGGTAGCTATGGCTGGCCTGGAACTTATAACAAGTTGGCCTTGACCTGCAGCAATCCTCCTGCCTGAGCGCCCTAAGTGCTAGGATCACAAGAATGCGCTGCCTCACCCAGCTCTGCCACACTTTATTTCTATAAAAACTAAACTAGTAAGCTGACTTTACTTCATGTGACGGCTAAGTGTTTCCTACATCATTAAGTGTTGACCTATAAAAACAGCCGCCAGTGCTTTCTAGGCAGGTGTAAGCTGCTGTTTAACAAATTCCCCCATTACTTCCTGGAAGGATGGAGTCCCATTTTGCTGTCTCAGCTACTCTGCCTTCATCATGCCAACCCCTGAGTCCCACCCCTCCCCACCCCCTCACACACAGACAGAATTGCTTCCTTAGTGAGGTTCGCCCACGATATTGCCAGATCAGCACTGAGCACTTTTGTTGGATACACAGACTCCCAAGCTGGGTTCGCGTCCAAGCTGCAGACAACTTCAGGAACCCACCATGAAACTAACACCACCAGGACTGGAGAGGTAGCTCAGGGGTTAAAGACACCGGCTTCTCTTCCAGAAGACCACGTCTGGTTCCAGTACCCATGTGGTGGCTCACATCCATAACTCCAGCTTCAGGGAATCCAATGCCCTATTTCTGGCCTCCACCAGCACCAAACAGTGCATAGACAGACACACACACAAGCAAAGCACTTGTATGCACAAAGTAAAAAGAATAAATCACCAAGTAGACCAAGAAAGTCCAGCCTCTGCCAACTCACACTTCCCTCCTCCTCCCAGCCGTCCTGGGCCTCTCAACCACTCTGGGTCTCCACACAGACTTCTGGTCTCTGCCGTTCAGGGTCTCTGTCCATTCAGTTGGTATCTGGCTGAGAACAACTAGGCATGAAGCACATTACAGGTGTGGATGGGCTGGGGTGGGCACTTAAACTCCAAGGTTTTTAGGACTTTGATTCTAACAGCTGCTTCCCCAGCCCAGAACACCATCAGGCTAATTGCACACAGGCTGGATGTCTCAAAAAGGGATTCCAGAACATTCCTCTTCCTTCTCTCCCTCCCCTTTCCTCTTCCTTCCCAATCCATAACCAGAAGCCTATCAGGGTCATTGAGATAACTGTGAATAAAGTCACTTTCTACCAAGCCTGGCGACCCGAGTTCAATCCACAGGACCCGCACAGTAGAACCAACTCCTACAAGTTGTCCTCTGACCTACACACACACACACATATATGTGTATGTGTATCTAAAAAAGTTCTTTTGCTCGTACATCACTATCTG